TTTATATTTGAGTCTATAGATAGATATTGATCAGGTTTATATTTGAGTCTATAGACAGACATTAGTCGGGTTTATATTTGAGTCTATAGATAAACATGGATCGGGTTTATATTTGAGTCTATAGACAGGCATTAGTCGGGTTTATATTCGAGTCTATAGACACGCATTAGTCGGGTTTATATTTGAGTCTATAGACAGGCATTAGTCGGGTTTATTTTTGAGTCTATAGATAAACATTGATCGGGTTTATATTTGAGTCTATAGACAGGCATTAGAAGGGTATATATTTGGGTCTATAGATAAACATTGATCGGGTTTATATTTGAGTCTATAGATAAACATTGATCGGGTTTATATTTGAGTCTATAGACAGGCATTAGTCGGGTTTATATTTGAGTCTATAGATAGACATTGATCGGGTTTATATTTGAGTCTATAGACAGGCATTATTCGGGTTTATATTTGAGTCTATAGATAGACAATGGTCGGCTTTATATTTGCGTCTATAGACAGGCATTAGTCGGGTTTATATTTGAGTCTATATAGATGAACAGTGTTTATACTTGAGTGAACAGTGTTCAATAATGTTTGCATTAATTCTGACCACCAAAAATAATCCTATTTGATTGTCAATATATTTCAATTGGAACAGCATTATCAATGAATTTATAATACATCGTGATTAATATCTGAATTCATTTCTGACAATCCATTTATTACTGATTGCATATAATGAAATGCATTTACTGTTATAGATATTGTTGATGCTTAAAACATAGTATGAGAATGCAAAAGGCAAGAAAATCACAAGGGATTTCTGAGGAGAAAGCGCAATAAAAACAACAGGATTCAAGGCGTTGGCATTGCATTTAAAATTTTGAGGATTGTTGTTGACAGAAAAACAAGAAACAGAAGAAAATTCCACTGACGCCGAAAAGTGCAAGAGAAGAAACGGATAGAATAGAATTTATGGTTACATTCAGCAATTTTGAATGGTAAAGTGATTAGACCTACACCCTTCTGCAAATTAATTAAAATAAAGCGAATAATTCCGTTATTATTTACTTTTCTCGTATTTTTCCGATGAAAAATGACCCAGTTCACATGTCAGTATTTCGTACATCCATTCCACGAAGTCATTCCTTGCAGATAAACAACAGATTCTCGATTGGATTTAGATCAGGAGAGTTTCCAAGCCAGTCTTCTATTACTTTGATTTTCTCACTGTGCAGTGTGTTTGTGCAGCGTTACAATTTTCGTATGCTTCCCTGGAGTAACGTCCATCGCAGAAAATGGCCGTGGGACAACTAATCGACAGTCGAGACAATAAAATCTGGGCGTGATGAAAATCTGATGCAATCACGGATGACGCAATATTTTTCAAGGCCAAATAAATTTCATCATACACCCCGAAAATAGATTCATATTGCTGCACACCACTGCAAATGACCTTATCTGAGGAAAAATAGAAATCGATTACACTCGGTCACTCCAGTCGGTTTAAAACTGACCGTATGGGGAAAGAAAGGAAACTAAAGCGGTTGTTTCAATTAATTTGCAGAAGGGTATAGCTGCCAATCTAGTACTGCGCATAAATTCAAGAATTCGAGGTAACAAAGAGGAAAGCCCGTCAGAAAATAACTGTAAAAATATTTACAGAAAATCCTTAGGGAAGTCGCGTGACGGCGGTGCGAAAATGACTCAAGTCGAGATGCCAGGTTAGCACTAATGAAATTTCAGATTCTTCTTTGGATGTTGTTAAAAATCTTGAGATACATAGAAGAAACACTAGACCAGACGTAGCAGCAATATTCAATTCACGGTTAAATGATTGGCTTAAAAATGTTTGGGATAGATTCGAATGAGAAAAGATGTGTAGCACAACACAGTGAATCAAGTTTCTTAGCATTAGACTTAGCATTTATCAAGATATAATAATTCCAAAGCCTTCTGTATAACTATTCCAATTCATATCAGTAGAAAACGCTAGACTGAAGGTGAAATGAGTTACTCATTTAGGGATTAGCTCCAGCCTTACTGATGGTAAGTAAAAAAAATGTTCTGTAAAATGGTTAAAATAGAGCAGTTTATTTTTCGAGGCGTTAACATTAAAAACCTATTTTACCCCATATATGGCTACCTTAAAAAATATTTCACCCAACTCTCGAGAGCCAGTCAAGATAGTGTGTGAAATTTAAGATAGAATATATCTGTAAAACTACAATATGAATAAAGACAAAAGGGAAACTTACCTTAGCCGACGCGTTTCGTCCTCTGAGAGAATTAATTATTCAATACAAATGTATCTGCGATGAAGATTAAGATGCATCTGTCTTGATAAATTCCCTCAGTGGACGAAACGCGTCGGCTAAGAAAAGTTTTCGTTTTGTCTTTTTTCATATATATATATTCGACCCAAGGCGACGACGCCAGAAATTTGCAAGGGTCTACTCTGAGTGAAAGAGAATGAAAAAGATTTTAAAAGGAACGGAAATCTTATTCTAAGCAAGGAACAAGGTATAGAGCTCTACTTCTGTTCGAAAGACTGGGGAGAAGTGTGAACCGGACGATAGGTAAACATGACTTCCACTTGAGGTATGGTGTGAACTTGAATCCCAACAGACGTACGGACATGATTCTACACTGTGCATATGACATGGGTTTAAAGGTCTGAACTGATGCAAGTAATGAATTCCGCTCCTGTAAATATTTACCATGAAGAGAGAAGTAGAGATGCGAAAGGCTAAAAATATTTTGTTTGCAGGAAAGGGCTGGAGGTGGAAAATAGTTCATCACCCACAAGGACGCGGAGACGCTTTTGAACTGTCAAAGCTTGAAAGTAAGGATGGAGCAACTCCAGTTTAGACATGGTAGCAATACGCCATTATTTAATCTGATCTGACGTTTGTAAAGATAAAGCAAGAAGCCTACTTGATATGATGAGTCATTTATTTATTTTTTTTGGGGGGGAGGCGGCATCTTTAGCAATGGATCGTAACTATGAATTCTACCTGAAGTCTGGAGTGAACTTGACGAGACTCGTTCCAATCATAGAGTCTCATTCAGAATGGAAATGGTCATCGTTACTGGAGAAATTTCAGTCTGATCGGTGATAATTACAATATGAAGATAATACGTTTGAATATGTCCGTATCACGTTGAAACACCAGTTCCTGAACGATCACCGAAGTTAAGCAACGTCGAGGCTGGTCAGTGACCACTTGGGAATATCACGTGCTTGTAAGCGTGGATGTTCGGGTGGTGTAATAGATAATAGGTCGGAATGAGAAATCGGAGGGGAGAGTTCAAATTCCGGTCGGGTTGGGTTACGTTCGCTTACACGCAAATAACCTTGGAGAAGGTATGTATCTACCACTTCTCCCACGTGGGTTAATTAGTAATAGTTGTATCACTAAACCATTAGTATCCAAAAAAAAAAAATCTAAAAATATTTTGTGACTTTAAGTAACCTGAAAAGGGTTGATAAGCCGTAAAAACGAATCAATCAACGTTCTTTTAACACTTTTGTTTCTTAGTCTGTCTATATTTCTGAGATGAGGTATTATGTACATTATTTACATTATTCGGACTATTGTCGCCATATTTATCACAACGTTTCGGCCTTCTTCAGGTGGTTGGAATGTCGAACTGAACCCTTTATTTCGCTCACTGGGGTAGACTGTTCTAGTTCCACGTGCCATATTTAATGGATGTCAGTTATCAGTTATCTCCTGTTAATTTCCCTCTGGAAGTTCTCCACTGCCTTAACTGGGTATTGAACTCACGCTCTTTGGGTCCTGTCATTGGATCTAACCAACGCCTTTATCCACTGTGCCATGTGTCCTTGAAGTGAGCGAAATAAAGGGTTCAGTTCGACATTCCAACCACCCGAAGAAGGCCGGAGCGTACAACGGCCGAAACGTTGTGATAAATATGGCGACAATGTCCAAATAATGTAAATAATGTACTTTTCCTCGTGTTTATTTTTTTTTATATTCAAGTTTGAAAATCCAATGACAAAAAAATTAATTTGCAACACCTCGAAGGCCGATGCGTCTATTTCAATTACGAATCCACCAGAATAACGTTTGAAGTAATCAAAAATGTAGAATTAAAAAAATCCATTTATGCTTTAGAAATTGCTTTGTTTACGTTTCGAAAACAAAACTGAGTACATATGCGTTTTCGAGATAAATATCTTGGTGAGGCGGTATGTTTCCTTTAAAAGGGAAAATAGAAGCTTGCTGTTATCTGACGCTCTTCGTAGCCAAAGTGTAAAACACATCGGATCTAAATATATAGCCCTGTCGAAACATATACTATGCAAGTAAGGATTGGCATTGACTCGATAATCCCGATTACACACACACACACACACATATATATATATATATATATATATATATATATATATATATATATATATATATATATATATATATATATATATATATATATATATATATATATATATATATATATATATATATATATATATATATATATAAATATATAAAAAAGTCCAACAATTATTTAAAGACATTTTTATGTTTGACATTCTTTTAACGATCCTTTGTGGCCGAGCGGTTAGGCACGTCAAGATAAATGATGTCTCCGTATAGGATGCAGGTTCGAATCCTGTCAAAGGACGAATATTTTCTATGAAAATTTCTCGGACATTCAAGCTGGTAAATGTTATTTAATACTGTTTATTATAAAAACAGAGCATTTACTTAAATACTTGTATCTATAAAAAGAATGTTAAACATAAAAATGTCTTTTTTTCTTTCTTTATATTTTTATGCGTTTGTGTGAGTGTATGTGTTTTCAGATTAATATTTTTTCTGATTGATAATCTAAAAATTAAATTACGTATCGAATGATCGTCCCCACATTCCTGAGCAAACCATGATCGACATCGGCGAACTCATGCCGACCCTAGCACCTCTTTTATTCTTCATAGAATGAGATGAAGACGAAATCCTTCGGCAAATCAATCTATGGAACGAGAATTGCCGAGAAGGTTATTTTTATTAGCTTCCACCCCGGCTCCAAAGTATCGCCTTATCTTACACGCCCAGATATTTTCTGGTAGGCTTCGGGTCGGGTGGGGTTTGGTAAACATTGAAGGGCTCCCCTTATTCGAATATTACGCATGGCAATATAGAACCGAGTAAAAGAGTGGCGCATTCAAAGAATCACGCTAAATGGATGTGAGACGTGTCTTCAACAATAAAAGCAAACTTGTTAATGATTGGAATAAATCAAAGGGAAACCATTTTTGCTATTTACATAATGTTCATATCAGACTGAGTGTCTGTTTGGCACCATTAAACTGAAGAACTTGTAAATTAAATGAAATCAATAGTCTTTGAGAACGTTGTCCAAGATCTTCATTCGTTATTAGCTTCTCTTTTTTTTTCTTTATTTTCCATGGTCTTTCTCTCTCCCCCCTCTCTCTCTTTCTTTGTTTTTTTCTTATTTCTCTTCAATTTATTCATATTTCTTTCTTTTTTCTTTGTTACTTTTCTCTCTCGTCCTTTCTTTTTTTCTTTTCTTTGCATCTTTCTTTTCTATTCTTTCTTTCTTTTCCCTTTATTCCTATTTTGTTCATTTGTATCTCTTTGTTTCTGTCTTTCTTTTTGATATATTACCCTTGCTATCTTTCTTTCTTTCTTTCTTTCATTCTAAAAATGCGATGACTCTCTTTATCAGACACATCTATCTATCTATCTATCTATCTATCTATCTATCTATCTATCTATCTATCTATCTCAGTCTATTTTTTTCTTTCTTTCCCCCTTTTTTAGTCTATGCGTAACTATTTCATTTGTTTCGTATCTATCTATCTATCTATCTATCTATCTATCTATCTATCTATCTCAGTTTATTTTTTTTCACCTTTGATAGTCTATGTGTAACTATTTCATTCGTTTCGTATCTATCTATCTATCTATCTATCTATCTATCTATCTATCTATCTATCTATTTATCTATCTAGTTTTTTTTAAGTTTTTTTTTTTTTAGTCTATTCGTAACTATTTCATCTATTCTGTTTTTCATTCATTATCTATCTATCTATCTATCTATCTATCTATCTATCTATCTATCTATCTATCTATCTCAGTCTGTTCCTATCTATCTATCTATCTAACTATCTATCTATCTATCTCAGTCTATTTTTTTCTTTCCACCTTTTTTAGTCTATTAGTAACTATTTCATTCGTTTCGTTTCCTATCTATCTATCTATCTATCTATCTATCTCTATCTCAGTCTATTTTTTTCTTTCTTTCCACTTTTCTTAGTCTATTCATAACTATTTCATTCGTTTCGTATCTCTCTCTCTCTCTCTCTCTCTCTATCTATCTATCTATCTATCTATCTATCTATCTATCTATCTATCTATCTATTCATACACTATGTTAATAGGATTATAGGCTTCCAATTCTTTCACCTTGGCACGAACAGTTTCAGCAAACCCCTACCGCATGCATCGACAGTGTGTCATATTTACGATTTCATTTTTTTACCCCAGGTTTTTCGGTGTCTGAATTTCTTCCCTGAGGCCTTTTCAACAGTTTCCTTTCATATTTTCCTTACATTTTTTTCTCTCTCATTTCCCATAATTCCTAACGTTTTACATTTTATTAACACATTCAATCAAACAGGAAGTACAGCCATCATTCAGTGCTTTCTCAGCTTCCATTTTTTCTTGTTGTTTTAACCGAAGTTTTTTTTTTTTTCCTTCTTTTTTTTTTTCTATCCGCATTGCCCTTGTTTGTCTTCCACAATTTGACTCATTTATAAAGAAATGGTTTCACAAAAATTGTGCTTGCACGAAAAAACAGAAAATTGCTGGGGTTGTGGTTTTGAAAATAAAGCCGGATTATCAATGAACTTAATACCTGAAAGAAATAAGGAGTGAAAATTTAATTAAAGGAGAAAATAACCTACTCTCTCTCTCTCTCTTTTTCTCTCTCTCTCTTTAGTTTTATCTCACTATCTTGGCTTCCTCTCTATTTGTTTTACCTTCAACCTCATTTTTTACTTTTTCTCTCCTTTTCCTCACTGCTTTCTTTCTTTTGATAAGCCGTCTCTTCTCCTTTCTTCATATTTGCCGCCCCAAAAGCGGATAATGGTTAACGTAGCTTGTTTGTGTAACTAATACTACTGTGTAGTGAGTTTGATCCTCACCGTGTGTCGCATAAATGATCTAGCAATGGCGAAATTAACCCTTTCATATTCAATTTATATTTATTTCTCGACATTATTTGTTTCGACTTTCCCCATGCTAGTATCTTTCTTTTGTCTTTCTTGCTAATTTCCTTCTCCACTTGATTTTTTTATTTCTTTCTTTTCCTTGTTTTTATCTTTATCCAGATATTTCCTCTTTCTTTCTTTCCTTTTCCTTTCTTTGTTCTTTCTTTCTTTTTCCTTTCTTTTTTTCTTTCTTTCTTTTTCACTTCCTTCCTTTCTTTATTTCTTGCTAATTTCCTTAAACTTTTCTTTTCTTATTTCTTTCCCAGTTTTTATCTTTCTACATAAATTTCTTTTCGTCTTTTTTTCCTGTTATTTCTTCTTCATTTTTTCTTTCTTTCTTTCTTTCTTTCTTTTTCTTTCTTTCTTTCTTTCTTTCTTTCTTTCAGCTCTTCTTTTTTATGTCTTTCCCCTGTTTTTATCTTTCTTTATAAATTTCTTTTCGTCTTTTTTCCTGTTATTACCTCTTCTTTCTTTCTTTCTTTCTTTCTTTCTTTCTTTCTTTCTTTCTTTCTTTCTTTCTTTTTTCTTTCTCTTCTTCTGTTTCTTTTTGGTTTCAATATTTCCTGTTTGTTTTTTTTTTTCCTTTCTTTTTTCTTGATAATTTCATCTGTTTTTCTTTTTCTTTCTTTTCTTTCTTTTTTCTTTAATTTCCTTTCTTTCCTTTTTTCTCGCTTTTTATTCTTTCTCCCTTCGATTTCTGTTTGTTTTGCTTTCTTTCTTTCTTTCTATTTTTTTTTTTCTTTCTGATTGCTTTCTTTTCTTTCTTTCTTTCTTTCTTTCTTTCTTTCTTTCTTTCTTTCTTGCTTGCTTCTTCTACTGTCTCTTTCTCCCTTCGATATTTCCTTTTGTTTCCATTGATTTTTTCTCACTTCCCATGCGCCATTTGTCGATAAAGTAGTAAGACCATGCGACTGGTGGGGGCGAGGAATCCTGATAACCTAAAACAGAAGTGGTCCAGTCTCTGCATTTTTTCTTTTTAATTCAACAATCGATTTAATGTCGAACTAGAGAGAACAACGTTTAGCGAGAAGTGCGAGAAGTCAAAAGAAATTAAACAAGGAATCATCTGTTAGCAAGGATAAAAGAAAGAAGCAAGGAAATAAATTGCAAAAGAAAGATAGAAAAAATAGCACGATAAAAAAAAAAGGAAAGAAAGAAATTGAAAAGACAAAATAATTAACCGACAAAAAAAAAGAAGGAATTAGCGCATAAAAAAGAAAGAAAATAGAAAAAGAACAGAAGAAAGTGAAAAAAATATCAATTACACCAAAAGAAAAATGAAAAACTAAGAAAAGAAGGAAATTATAGGGAAAAAATGACCGAATGAAAGTTGTAGCAGGAAAATGGCCGAATGAAAATTATAGCAGAAAAATAGCCGAATAAAAATTATAGCAGAAAAATGGCCGAATGAAAATTATAGTAGAAAATGGCCGAATGAAAATTATAGCAGAAAAATGGCCGAATGAAAGTTATAGCAGAAAAATGGCCGAATGAAAATTATAGCAGAAAAATTGTCGAATGAAAATTATAGAAAAATAGCCGAATGAAAGTTATAACAGAAAAATTGTCGAATGAAAGTTATAGCAGAATGACCGAATGGAAGTTGTAGCAGAAAAATAACCGAATGAAAATTATAGCAGAAAATGGTCGAATGAAAGTTAAATGAGATGAATGGCCGAATGAAAGTTATAGCAGAAAAATGGCCGAATGAAAATTATAGCAGAAAAATGGACGAATGAAAATCAAAGGAGAGAAATGACCGAATGAAAGTTATAGCAGAAAAATAGCCGAATGAAAGTTATAGCAGAAAAATGGCTGAATGAAATTTAAAGCAGAAAATGCTTGAATGAATGTTATAGCAGATGAACGACCGAATGAAAGTTATACCAGAAAAGTGACAGATAGCAGAAGAAATAAAGAAATTAGCACGAAAGAAAGACTGAAAGAAAGGAAAAAAAAATAAAAGCAATCACGTAGAAACATAGAAACTGAGAAACATTGAAAGAGGTTTGTTTTGTTTTGTTTTGTTTTGCGGCATATCAACTGCAATATGTTAATTAATGCCGCCAAATTTTTTAATGATGTTAATATTTTTTTCATAAATCTATTGCTTGTAATACTTTTTTTTTCAAAAATGTACTACTGGTAACAATTTTTTCCAAAAATGTATTAAAACCTATTTTATACTTTCATAGTGTTTTTACCCCTTTTGGTTGGATAACTATTTGACTATAGCTGAGAAACCTAATAGGTACTATCAGGGTGGATCACTGAACAACAGCAATTAAGCGATCGTTCCACGCCCCTCAAAACCTTCTGATCAAAGGCCTTGCTGTCGGATGAAGTTTATCGTCTTACCCAGGACGCAATGATGAAAGAAGAGGTGTGAATTAGAAAGAAAGAATGAAAGAAAAAGCAAGAGAGAAAGAAAGAAAGAAAGAATGAAAGAAAAAAAGAAAGAAAGAATGAAAGAAACAAAGAAAGAATGAAAGAAAGAAAAAAAAGAAAGAAATGGAAAAGAAAGAAAGACAGAAAGAATGAAAGAAATTGGTTCGAAAAACAAACAAAAATAAATGAGAATGGAGAAAAGAGGACAGAAATGAGCGAAAATGAAGACACACAGACATATTGACAATCAAATATACAGAGAAGTGGGTAAAGAAAGAAGGAAAAAAAGATAGAAGGAAATTATTGAAAAAAAAAAGGTGGACTACATAAAAAGAGAGAGGACAGAAGAAAGGTAAAGATAGATAAAGAGAGAAGAGGAAAAGGGTAGAGAAAGAGAAAGAACAGAAGAGTAGAAAAAGAAAGAGAGTTAACAAGCAAAGAGTGAATGTGAGGGAACAGGAGAAGGACATCGTTAGAGAGTGTAAAGATTAAGATTGATAAAATTCCTAACTTTTCCCATTTATTACTTATGCCTTAAGTAATATTAATTCAATAGTTATAGCGGATGGTTACGCGTCCCCGAGAAACCATTGTAACACCCTTCTTCCATTGGGTCTTTTCGTTTTCATAAGTACTCGAGCTAGGATAATTTTGTCGCAAGAAGTGATATTGCTTAAAATTTTGGGTAGACGACCCGTGTTCACTCCGGGCAGTATTCTTTCCTTCGTTAAACGTGCTGGAGATAAACGCGTTCTGGTTTGGCATTAACCTTCTGATAGTCAGGAACTTGAACCTTAGATGAACTGCTATGGAGGGAATCCCATCAGCAGGGGTATAAGAACACGGCTATTCTACTGCCATTATTGTGAATGGAATCTGGATTATGCAATATTTTCCCGATGGTGGGGGGGGTCTCTCGATATCATGATGAAATATACTGTTACGGTTGTACTTCCAGGCAATTTAATCTCGGTAATTGATGCGCGTACTACCTGAGGGTGTGGTTGCTTCTCTGCCTAGTTTCACCCGTTCTAACATCCCAACATGTCGAACCATGTCCTCAACAAAAAAAAAAAAAAAAAACAAGACAAAAGACACAAACCCAACATCAGAAAAACAAACGGAGATCCCAAGTCCAGCATCTAAACAAATGTGAAGGGCCTACAATCTAACTTTCCAGAAACTGAACATCATTTCTACGAGCTCAAACCTCGTCCTGGGTAAGACGATAAACTACAGCCGCGTCCTGGGTTAGACGATAAACTACATCCACGTCCTGGGTAAGACGATAAAGTCCCCGTCCTGGGTTAGACAATAAACTACATTCACGTTCTGGTTAAGACGATAAACTACATCCGCATCATGGGTAAGACGATGAACTACATCCGCCTTCTGGTTAAGACGATAAACTACATCCGCATCCTGGGTAAGGTTAAAGACGTCCGCGTTCTGGTTAAGACGATAATCCATCCGCCTTCTGGTTAAGACGATAAACTACATCCGCGTCCTGGGTAAGACGTTAAACTACATCCGCGTTCTGGTTAAGACGATAAATTACATCCGCGTCCTGGGTAAGACGTTAAACTACATCCGCGTTCTGGTTAAGGCGATAAACTACATCCGCGTCCTGGGTAAGACGATAAACTACATCCGCGTCCTGGGTAAGACGTTAAACTACATCCGCGTCCTGGGTAAGGCGATAAACTACATCCAACAGCAATGCCTCTGATCAGGATGTTTTGAGGAGCGTGTTATCACCTCTTAATTGCTAGTGTTCCCAGGTCCACCCTGACTCAATGTGGTAGCACCTTTTAGGGTCCCAGCTATGGGCAAATATTTAACCCCAAACTGTGGTCAAAGCACTATGAAAGTGTAAAAATAGTTTTTAATACCAACAATATATTTTTGTAAAAAATTATTACCAGCAATAAATTTTAGAAGAAAATTTATTACCAGCAATACATTATTACCATCAATACATTTTTGGAAAAATATGATGAGCGATAAAAATCTTGGCATTAAATAACCCCTTGCGGTTGATATACCGTAAAACAAAACAAACCAAACTGAGGTCCAACCGGACTTCATGTTCTTGTCGGCAACTGATCTTATCCTATCAATTCTAGTGAAGGATTTCCCAATCTTGGACTATTCGCTTCTAATAGTGAAACCTGACCTCGAAATCTCCATTGCTATGGAACCCCTGCTTATATTAATGTGACCATGCAGCAGAAAACTCAAAAATGAGGACCTTGATTTCACGTTCATATGTTTGGTTCGTTGATTTTCTTTAGTGGTATATCAACACCTTTATGGGTTATTTCATACTGTAATCTAAATATTTTGTATGCAATTTTATTTATTTTTATTTTTGGAGTTAATAATGATTTAGTGATTACTAATTAACCCATAGTTAGGGGGATAAGTGGTAGGATCATACCTTTCCCAAGTTTATTTGTGCGTAAGTGAATATAACGAATCCAATTAGATTTAGAACTCGGCTCTCGATTATCAATCCCGAATTCTTATCGATTGCACCAACTGCGCATCCAAACTTACAGCACTTGGTATTCCCAAGCAGTCACCTCTCTAGGTACTGACCAGGCTCAACGTTGCTTAAGTTCGGTGATCGTGCGGTAACCAGCGTTTCAACATGATGTGGACGTATGCTTTGTCTTAACTGTCATTACTCACAGAATTAGTTAGGCATTAGAAAATAAATCCATCACGGGGATATACAAGGTGTGGTATCCGGCTCTGCTACATAAACTCTACCGCTCTGGAATATCTGGAAGGGCTTTCTCAATTATAGAGTCCTTCCTAACATGAAGTCATCGGTAGGCCATGAGATCAATGCCAGCATTCCACGGGTCCTACCTTCTTTCTGCTCAATATTAACCATCTACCTAAGAACATTCTCCGATCTTTAGTGAGGATCTTTTTAGATGACTGTTATAGTGGAACACACCTATACTATTGTTAATAGACTCTCCCACCTATAATAAGTAGGAGTGGTAGCAGTCGCCAGTGGGCTCAGTGAGTTGGTCTGGGTTCAGTCTGAAGTCGGACGACCAGCTGACCGGTTGAAATCTCTGTCTTCGGGCGGGGAGGAACCCGAACGAGGCTACGCCGAAGGGCGGATTCTCTTTCGGGGAGGTAAACCGACCCTGAACCCGTTTATACGGGTTCAATGGACACATTTTTTGGCCGAGCCCACGGGCTCTGAGATCCCCCGTTAAAAAGGCCTCGTGGGGTGGGGTGACTGAATATCCTCAGTAAGTTGGTCAGTCAGTCGATGTCAGACGACCGTTAGTCGGATACTAGAAGTATCAGCGACCACCACTAGATTTCTCTGCGTCATTACCTATTACATCAAGTTCCTAACGTTTTGTACGTCGAACCTATTTTAGGACCGACTTAGTGAAATACAAGCCTCCACTGTGAAACTACTCTATAACAATGACACAATACTTTATAGACGCACCTCCCCCAAATCTGGATGACCAGAACCCGGCAGTTGGTCGTCCTCTGACCTAACCCAAGTGGTTCGATGGCGGAAGGATTGGTTCGTAAAATTCAATACTCGTAACGTTCCATCATAACCGAGGAGACTCTGAACTTTCATGGTGGGTCTTCTCTAAAGGATGCTTCTTGCCTAGAACATCTATCGGGATTCATGCTCTCTCCAAACCTCAAGTGGAACTCATATATACGATCTATTGCTAAAGATGGCCGACTCATTGTACTGCTCCTGTAAATTAGTTCAATGTGTCGTGCTAGACATCTTTTCTCTTCAGAATCTATCTGACATGTCTGTCATTCGTCTTTGTTAATGTGTTGCTGCCACATCTGGGCTGGTGCTCCTGTTATATATTTAGAAGTTCTTGATAAAATCCAAAGAAGAATCTGCAAAGTTATTGGTCCTTTTCCCAACATCCTAACGTAGTTTTCCTGCGTCTATATATATATATATATATATATATATATATATATATATATATATATATATATATCAGGTCATCTCATAAGTTCTGTCCGAATTTTAACTTTTTGTTAAAATGAACGAAATTTAAAGAGTATTTTATAATGTCTAATGGAGCTGAACATTATTTTTATGTTGAGATGCATTTAAACTGATCAAATTTTATTTCAGACAACAATAAAATTAAATTTTGTTTGATTAAAACCCTGCTAACATGGAAGTACCCAAGAATCATTTGAGGTACATAATGCTTTATGAGTTCAAGAAAGGAAACTCAGCAGCCGAAGCGGCTAGAAACATTCACTCAGTTTATGGAGAGGAATGTGTGAATGAAAGAACTTGCAGAAGATGGTTTGCAAAATTGAGAGGTGGAGATTTCACCCTTGAAGATGAAGATCGAACCGGACGTCCAGTTGAGTTTGATGAAAAGCTTCTTAAAGCAGCCCTTGAAGAAAATCCTGCTTTATCAGTTGAGGAATTGGCAGTGGTTCTCAGTTCAAACAATTGTCAGTTCAAAATCATTGTCATCTTCAACAACTTGGAAATGTTCCTAAACTTGGAAAATGGGTGCCTCAAATCCCGAGTTGACATCTGCTCTTCTCTCCATTCCCGCCAATTTGTTTCACCTTTTTTGGATAGACTTGTGACTGGCGACGAAAAATGGATCTTTTATCGAAATGTTAAGCGTCGTAGACAGTGGCTTGGTAAAGGGGAAGGACCCCAGCCACAGCCGAGAAGGGAACTTCATGGGCAAAAGTTTCTTCTTTCAATCTGGTGGGATCGCCAAGGAATAATCCACTTTGAATTCTTACCACCTGATGCAACAATTAATGCTCAAATATACTGTCAGCAATTAGAGCGTTTGAACCAAGCTTTGAGGAAAAAAGAACTGCTCTAGTGAATCGAAAAGGGGTGATTTTTCATCAGGACAATGCGCGACCCCACACAGCAAGAATCGCGTCACAAAAGATCGAAGAACTTGGTTGGGAGAAAATTCCTCATCCACCTTATTCTCCCGATCTTGCTCTTTCAGACTAACATTTGTTTCGTAGGTTACAGAATCATTTCGAAGAAACAGCTTTTGTAACACAGGAGGAGGTTAAAACTGAAACTTGTGAGTTCTTCGAATCAAAACCAAAAGAATTTTACAGTAAAGGAATTAGTAAGCTTGTTAATAGATGGAAAGAAGTCATAGATAATCAGGGAAAATACATTGTTGATTGAATCTGTAATTAAATGTAACATTTGGTCATTTGTTTTCTTTATTCAAAATTCGGAAAGAATGGGATGACCTGATAGATATACTTTCATGGTAATTTTTCTAATGAACTTTCAACTCTGGCATCTAAATTGTATGGATTTAAGCGCAGTACTATTTTGGCGGCAAGGTCTTCACAACTTAGAGTCAAAATGGCTAGATGTAACCGTAAATTCTATGCTAACAGTTTTTTCTATCGCACTTCTCACTTGTGAAACACTCTTCCGGCTTCTTCCTTCCGGCTTTGATCTTTAAAAATTTAAATGGAATGTTATTTTATGTTTTCTTAATTCTTATTCTTTTATTGCCTTATTCCTTAATAGTTTTGGTCATATTTAACATTCAGTAACCGTTTTGCGTCTTAGTAGCTTGATTTCCTTACTTGGGGTGAAATGATTTTTTTAAAAAAGTATCTGATTCTCTACTCTGTTTTTACGATAGCCAGATCAGACCCAAAATATCGTATATTGCTGTCATATCTTGATAGAATATGTCAATTCCTCAGGACTGTGACTTAAAAATTAACCCAGACCTCAAGTGGAACTATATTTAGTCGTACCCCCACGAGGGCGTCATGTGGCAGAAGGCCTTTTTAACGTGGGCATTTCCGAGCCATTAGGCTCGGCCAAAAAATAGCCCATTTGAACCCGTATAAACGGGTTCTGGGCCGGTTTTACCTCCCCGAAGGAGACTCCGCCCTTCGGCGTAGCCTCCTTCGGGTTCCTCTCCGTCCGTAGACAGAGAGTTGAACCGAACCGTCGCTCAGAAAGTGAGCGATGGACTCAGACCTCAAGTGGAACTCGCACATCGCTAAAGTTATTGAAAAAAATGATCGGTTCCGTGTGCCGTTCCAGTAAACCTGACTCCTCCTGCTATCGTCTAACCTTACAAGAGCCAGATCAGGCCTACCATGGAGTACTGCTATATATATATATATATATATATATATATATATATATATATATATATATATATATATAGATCTCACTTTCCACTCTAGATAGACTTCAAAAACGTCACCGCGGCTTTATGGGGGACAAATTATTTTCCACTCTACAATCTCTTTTCCCACGGACGAAACAGCGCATGCGTCTCACTATTCTATCGCTATTTCCATGGTGATTGTTCTGAAGGGCCACATTCTTTGGTTCCACCAACCTTGACCTTTGCAACTGGAACCCACCAGGCCACAAAAACAAAAGTGAATTCTCCCCATTCCAAATATGTCTTGTGAGTGTAAAATTCTCCAAGCCCTCCGTCCTCATTATGAGTTCGAGAAATTTCAGTTATCTCTTTCTAAGTATTCTCAGCAGCCTTCTGTAGAATGACTGTTCTGTTGTTTCAAGTTCTTCTTTATTTATGAGGACTTTGTCTGGCATTATCTTTTGCAGTAAGGTCCATCCTGCATAAGCCCAGGGGCCACTCAAGGTAGAGGATTACGTTAAGGGCTAGTTTATATGGATAGGAAGGGGACATAACGGTTAACTGTAGACTTGAACAGGTTAAGATGGGAGTCTGTTTTACAGAGCAGTAGTTCGCGGGAAGAAGCAGTTTGAGCGAAACTTACTTCTCACCGATGGAATACGGACGGACTGTGGTGGTTTGGTTCTATGTAAGTGGCATGGTGGGTCCTAGCTGTGAAAGACCTGGTGGAACCAAGGAATTTAGCTCGTCTGAGCAATTTCCATGGTAATAGCGATAGAACAGTGAGAGAATCGCTACATCCCAACTGTGAGAGAGGAGCTAGAACGTGGAAAATAATTCTTCTCCAACCAGCACATGAAGACGCTTTTTAACTCCTCCAACACTGGAAAGTAAGGAGCAGGCATCTACCGCCCAAATATGGCAGCAGTACTCCGTTTTCGGGCTGTTTTGGTTCTTATAAAGGTAGAGACTAGTATGAGGAGTCATATTAGAGCGGTATAGGGAGCCGACAATTTTACCTGCATCTTTAGCGATGGATCGCATGTAGGAGTTGCGGTCAGGTGTGAGTTTGAGGCCAGATGTTCTTTCGGGGCACGATACCTCCTTGAGGAGACATCCGTTCATCGTGTCTGGCGGTAGTTTGGGGTCTGATCCGCATTGATCGAATGTAACTAGTTTGGTTTTCGAGACATTGAGCGTAACCAGCCAGCTTTTCCCCACTGGGAAGTTAGTGACCAATCGGAAGAGCGGTCAGAAGCCAATCTCTGATGGTCAATAATTTTAGAGGTGTGTCCGTATATCGTCGTATCATCTGCATAGATGTTTTTACAAATGATCAAAGTATATTCTTAGGTAGATCCTTTATGTAAATCAAAAAGAGGTGTGGTCGAGAAGTGACCCTGTCTTTATATATATATATATATATATATATATATATATATATATATATATATATATATATTAAAAAGAAGAGAAGAGAGGTGCCGCAAACGTTTTTGGTTG